GAGTTAATGGACAGATTTAACTCGTCATTACTGGGTTAAGTCTATATGAAGCCTTGGTTAATTTCCATTGTTCCAAACATGAAGAATACACTATCTGCATTACAATTTCAAAACACACGAAAATCTTTGTCTACATATAAAATTGTCCTATGTCTGCATACATAATTTACTATCAGTTAAGGTCTTGGTGGTGAATTTTTTAGATACTAAGTCAGTTAGTCGGAGTAGAATCTATAATGCTCGAACTCTGTTGGTTTACCGTTTTATCGTGGGAAACAGGCGCTCAAATTAAATCTCAAGCACCTATGATGAGGGGACGAATCTGTTTCAAGTATGTTAGATAAAATATCCGTGAACGAATACCGATTTAATAAATATCGGATTTACAATACCTACCGGATATACAACTTACTGTATATGTAGTTTACCGTGTAAACAATAAATTACCGAATAATAGTTAAGATATAACAGATTAAATAATTTGCTAATCACAACAATCAAAATAAGTTATATACATCACGATAAAAGAGAACAAATAATCTAAATAGCAAAGAATAAAAATTCAATCGAACTTTTAAAAATCGTGGCATGTGTGAACAAAATTTCCTGAAAACAGATTCATCCACACACCGTAGGTACTTGAAATTTAATTTGAGCGTCTGTTTCTCAAGATACAATGGTAAACCAGAAAAGTTCGAACACTGCAGATTCTACTTCAGTGTACTGACTTAGTATCTGAATAATATCACCACCAAGACCTTGACAGACTGTAAATTATGTATGCACACAAAGGACAATTTCATATGAAGACGGAGATTTTTCGTGTGTTTTGGAACCATAATGCAGACAGTGTATTCTTCACGTCTAGAACAGTGAAAAATTGAGGCTTCATATAGACTTAACCCTAGTAATGATGAATTAAATCTTTCCATTAACTTAATGACAATAACCATTGGAGTTTAAACAGTTTCAAATGTTAATTGAATAATCATTGGAGTTTTAGCAGTTTCAGAAATCAAAAGTTAGTTGTTGAAAGCAAAAAAATTGGCAAAACATAAGCCTTCCAAAGAAACCAATTTTTGGTCAATTTGGCCCGACATTCGTGTACGTTTGCACAAAAGTTCAAGGTCAGAAACCTATTTCAGTCCGTGACTTGCACCCCCTACGCGCGCACGTGGAGAGAGCATCTATTCCACACATGATTAGACACTTCCAAAGTGTATTTATATATAAAGTGGTTCTTGCTTTCATAAACTTCCTATGTGGGATAAACTCAAGTTTAGTTTTCCCTCCAACATAAACCATATTCCAGTGGTTCACTTTGAACTCTAATTTCTCATTCACCTGAGCTTCATTTTTGACAAGTAAATACATGATTTCGATGTTCACGTAGAGAAGAACGCAGATCAATATTGATCTTCCAAAATAATCAAACGGGTCTCACTTAAAATTTATGCCAAAGTTAGTTATTCACCGCATTTTTTCCAACATATTAATTGCTTCGTCAAAGGCTTTTAGAATGTGAGCAGGTGAGACCCACCCACCTAACCAACCAACTTTATACATAGCCACCCGGGCTCATAATGAGATTATAATTCCTTATAAGCTCATTATTTGCCTCTATTTAACCAATGTGAAATTTTGTTACTATCCACCAATGAACACAGTACCTTATAATCTTGATCCCCTTCAATCGATAGTCTATTCGTCTATCTTTTTCAAACATAGAAGGATTACAATCACCATCGTGGCCCTGATGCATTGACTTATATTAATTAGCTTGCATGCTTCCTCCACCTAGTGTCAGGGCATCCTGCTTCAGGTTAGGCAATGAAGACACCTAGCTTCAAATCTTTGAATCTCAGGTGACTCGTTAGGGCATGGGCACCCTAGGTCCTAGGTTCAACCTAGGCTATCCTCGTGTGACTGGCTTTCTCAGTTAGTCCTAGATCTTAGGCACATCAGCATAAAGGCTCAACTAGTCTTAGGTCTAATCCTAAGCTTAGCCTAGCTTAGGTGATTGGACTCGTCCACATGGACAATGACGATCCTGACTATAGCCAGGGTAGGCGATCGCTCAGAGCTCACTTTTGTAAGGGCCTTCAAAAAAAATTATTACACATAGTTCATAAAAAACTACGAACAAAATAAAGTCCAAATGCAATCAACCAAGTCAATACAGTTGTCCAATTAGCAAATATATTACTATAATAGTTCATTCTTTATCTTGTAAAAGTATTTAAAACTTAATTATCTATATGTCCTAGTAAATCCAATTAAAGTAAAAGGTTTTTTCCCCCCTTAAGGTAGACAACACTTCAGGGCAAGTACAACTTGATGAATTATTATATATAAAATACTTGAACTTGGTATTGGTGATTTCAGAGGTCAGTGTTATGATAATGCTTTTCATATGAAATGGAAGCGTACATGTTTATAGAAGAGTACAAGAAGTAAATTCAATGGTATTTTACACACCATGTGGTTGTCATAGTCTGCACTTTGTGATATGGCAAATTCTTGTATAAAGGTCAAGTCTATTTTCGAAATTGTACAATACTAAATATATTGTTTTCATCTTCTAAAAAACCATGAATTTTTTTTCTTTCAAAATAATGTGAAAGCTATGACACTCAAGCAACTATCAAAAGTACGTTAGAAAAGTAAAGTTGAAATTATTAAAGCAATAAGATTTTGAGTGCTAAAAATAGAAAATTGTTTAGAACATTTGATGGATGCATATGATGATCCTAAGGCATTTAGGGATGCTGAAAGTTTATCTTTTGACATTATTAATTTTGAATTCTTGTTTGTCATGGTTATTTGGTACAATATTGTCATCTATTAATAGAGTAAACAAAGTATTGCAAAGTAATGACAAGCCTATTAATGCTACATTAGTCACTTGAAAGAACTTATTTCGTTTTCTGAAAAATATAGAAAAACTTGATTTGAATTTGACGAGAATACTGCTAAAGAAACTAGTGCTCAAATGGAGGTTGAAAGTTGAACAGCAAACTGTAAAAAATTGTTTGTCAAGAGACCAAAAAGGTGATTAACGTGTTAGACTTTATCAAAATGATGGACTACTATTTTTCAAATGTGTGAATTGCTTTAAGAATATTAATGATTATATGAGTTACAATTACATATGTCAAAAGTAGCTTCTCAAAATTGAAGTTAATAAAATTCTATCTTTGATCAACCATGTCACAAGAAATGTTGAATGAATTAACTATGGTGTCTATTAGATAATAAGTTCTAAAATAAATTATTTGTAATAGTACAATTATTGATTTTCTATCCAAAAATTCTAGAAAAATAAATTTTATTTAGATATTTGAAAGTTTTAGATTGTTATTTTTATAATTTTGAATATTCTTATTTAATAAACTTATTTATATATTATTAATATATCATTTAAAATTTTTATAGAGCCTCATATTTAAAATTGGCATAAAGCATCTAAAATCTGACTGACCCTGCACATCGAGGTGACAAGAGGCGTAGCAGCACTAGTAATCCTAATATAATATATATCATCGTACCCTAGTGTCTTTAGACTATAAAAGCGTTATTGTGTTGAATTGAGTTATAAGATTGAAAATCTTGTCTGAATTTTAATGTTGCGGTGACAAGCAACTTTTAGTAGGAATCTGAGATATTGCAACGCAGAATTATGGAGACACAGTTGAACACTGTGACTTGTCTCTCAGCTTCCACTTGATGTCCAACTAGAAAAATGATGCCCAAATCACTATAACCTCTTGCGTAATCCCGATGTCAGAACCATATACATATTAAATTTGTAGATTTATCTATTGCCTCATATTTAGAGAGTTGATGAAGAATTTTAATTTATGTATGGTTTTTGCAGTTGTACATGTGCATTAATTGTGAAAACTAGGTAGCATTATTTTTTAAAATTGGAGGCAGGCCTTTGATAAGTGCAATTTGTGCATTT